GCACTCGACACGCACGATCTCCGCAGAGGGTTGCGCGCGGACCGGACAAATCGCACTCTCGCCTGCATTTCGCGCACTCGACGCGCACGATCTCCGCAGAGGGTTGTACTTTCGGTTGACGCTGTTCGTCCCGCACTCCGCCTTTAAGAGAGAATTTATAAAGTGGGGAAATGTTTTTTCATTAGGATATCTCCCGTGCTAGTTTTCCATACTCATCCATACTCACACTTGCCTGCTCATTGCATGCTTGCATACTCACCCTTGCATATCATTGCATACTCACCCTTGCATATCATGCTTGCATACTTACACTTGCATACTTTGACACTGGCATACTTCGCACTTGGATGCTTTCGCTCTTCCAGCGTGTGTGTGTGTGTAAGTGTGGAAGTGTCAGTGTGTAAGTGTAAGTGTCGAAGTGTCAGTGTTCAAGGGATTTTCCGGAAGAACCCTTCGCAATGCTTTCGGGAATAATATATATATATATGTGTATATGACATTTAAGAAAAAAGGAAAAGGTAAGCGCGGTAAGAGTCCCTTTAGCACGCCCCCCCTTTTCAAAAACAAGAGGCCTTGTCGAAGGGGGCCCTTACCTCCTCATGGTATTTTCTTTGTAAATGGAATAGAAATCACGCCACTGCGCACGCGCGCACGCCCGCGCGCCCTCTCTCTCTCTCTCTGTCACTGAGGCCAAGGCCCAACACTTGGCATCAACGGAGCTGGCACCTTTCAAACTGCATGAGGAGCAGCTCCTTGATGTTGAAAAATGCTTTCCTTTAACATCTTCTGACTTGCTCTTCTGCAAAGATGAGAGTTGGAGCTTGATGCACTTTAAACATTTAAACATCTAGGGCCTAGGGCTTGCTACAGTACCACCTCAGCAATCAACCTGCTTCTCACATCTACCCATCCCTCAGCCTTGACAATCTCTTCTTGAAGCTGCAACTTGAAACCGTTCTCAACCTCAACGGCTGGGTTTCAACGCACATCCTGCAAAACACCTCTCTCTTGAGACCAAAGAAACGACATGCGTCTGCTTAGCGGCATCTAAAGAATCTAAAGTTAGTAACAAACTGTCATCCTGTTGCCACTTTCTTGGTCCATTTCGATCATCTCCTCCAGGCTGCCCTGCCACTTCCAAGAAGCACGGGATAAACTCCTGCAGTTCTTGGTTCTCATCTTCTCATTCATCCAGCTGCTTGTCAGTTGGACAGCAGACAGACGTCACTGCAACCGGTCTAAAAGCAGTGTCGCATTCTGCTTGTCATGGTGCACAGGGGAAAAACTTGAAACCGCAGCACCTGCCTGGTCCCTCGGACATAGCATCGCAGTAGCAGCTGGGGACCTGGGCAAGCATGGCGTTGACATGTGCTGCATATTAACAGCGTCACGCTGCTTAGCCCTCGGCACAAGCACGCCAGCCGCCTGCGGCTATTGAAGGTCAAACACTTGAAGTTGAACAGCAACGAAATTGCAACAACCCGTGAAGATTCACTGTTTGAAACACATAAAAGAATGTGATTCGAAGCCACCATAGACATAGAAATGTAGGTCGGTTGCTATGCAAAAGGCTCACAAAAACGCTCGTCACCCAAGAACATTCACTGCAAGAAAACTGCATTTGAATGTCCCATGCTTGGATCGCCTGAAATGACAGCGCTTGGCCCACAAGTATCGGGGCCTTCAGGGATGAATGAATATGCGAATGACTGTTGCCACTGAGGAAGCTGAGATGCAGTCGCTCCATACGGATGTGCTTCCGTCTGTCGTCATGTACACATGGCCTCCTGTGCGAAGTTCAAGCCGCGGGGGTGGACAGAAGCTAGCTACAGAGCTTGCATTGCTGGATCAAAAGCAAAGAAATGAAACATGACAATACTGAGAAGATGTGGTGTGCACTGTTCCAAAATGAGCTACAGTATATTGAACTATTTTGACACCAATGAGATTGCAACAGGGATAGATTAGATGTGGTCCTCAGAGAAAGAGTTATAAAGAAGTTCAGAGACAATGATGCTAAATGAGTGGGCAAAAATACTCTACAACTCTACTAGACTTGAAATGTTTCGTCAATTGTCAAGCAACCCAGAGATCAGACTCGTCCTTGAGTGGGTAGACACGACCTGAAGCTGCAGCCAACAGCATCAAACATGAAACAATTTGCCACACGATCAGCTTGTTCGCTGCCAGAAGGTATTCGTCTGTTCCATTCTGTCATGTTCTGTCTGCTTCCATTGTATATCTCCCTGAACATCCGCACATCGTCGAAGTGATTCCCTTGGGCCAGGCCTGAGCTCATGTGAGTCCAAACACCATTCCTAGTGTTTGGTTTCAGAATGCTGCAAAGCATTCCCATAATCATTCGTCTTTCAACTGATAAAGTCCGAGAGACAGAAACATTCAGAACTTCAAAGTCCCACTGAGAACTTCGAGAGCTTCCAGAGCTTCCAAGCGCCTGCATCCTGTTGTCAAGTAGAATGGCGTGCCTAGCTGAGATCCTCATGCGGGCGAGGCCTCCTCTCGCCAGCTTCACCGTGCTCCTCTTCCTCCTTGGTCTTCTCCTCTTCCTCCTTGCTCTTTAGAACCAAAAGGTCGAATTTCGGCCTTGAAGCTGGGATCGGTCACTGGGAATTCGTTGGACAGGTGAAGAAGCGCTGAGCAGCCGGCAAGACACCGGTGTTCTGACCAAGAATTGAAAGGCCCAGGAACAACCTCGACTATACAAAGACTATATTTAGGGGCCTGCGTTGATTCAAACGGCCTTTGAATTGTATGATTGACCTTCTTGTGTCCTCCTAAGCGACATCTGAGCCCTGTGCCAGCTCAATTGACTGACCTAGGTCAAGGCGGCATACAGGCACATGGCATACATTCATATAATTCATTGTCATTGCCCAAGGCCAAGGTGCTCCGCATTGCTCTACATCTATCTGTATGCATTGCCCAAGGCCAAGACTCGCGTGACTGACAACAGCACCCGCCAGGGCAAGCGCCGCTCCCGCTCCCTACGGCGTGTCTGCGGGTCATTCGACTCAACTGTGATGGGTAAGTGTTGCAGCACTCCAGGCCCTGTGTGGTTCAGCACGACTCTTGAGACAGGCGGCCCAACTAAACAAGATTTGTGACTTCGGGGTTCAAGTGGCAGCTCCGAGCATTTATACAACTTGTCTCTGCTCTTTCCTTAAAACAAAATGCAGACGGTCATCAACTTTCAGAGTCTGAGACTTCAGGCATCGGTCTTCGGCGTTTACTGCATCCACGCAAGACATAGAAGCAGGATTCAACAATCACCTTGGCTTCTGAAGGCGCACGGCACTGCGCCAGAATGCTCTTCGATGCTGTGCAAGTCAAAAGGGTTGGATTCGCCAACTTTAGATCCATAATTATATGGCTTGGGAAGCTGCGGTTCTGGTGGTGACTTCCATGTCGCTGTCATCACTCTGCATGAGGTCTTCCCTGCAGAGAAAACACACACACACACAAAGACACCAAACCTAAAGAATCTACATTGAAAGGTGTCGACTTGGCGTCAACTCTCACTTGACGATCACCGAGTCTTTAGCTGTAGCTGAAAGCACTGGAGTCCCACCGGCCTCCCGTGGAACAAATCGGTCACAGTGTGCTCGGCATCCTTCACCAACGTACTCACCTGACGAATTTGAGGGCGGCATTGAGACCAAATGATTGATTCTTAAAGTTTAACTCTAAACTAGAATTGTGTTTATACTATATACTATATCCGCCGACCCCGGCTGAAGGAGGGGGAGCGCGCGAGGGATTACAGGTGCGGGAGCCTTGCGCTTCTTCGTCTCAGCACGAACCTGCAGGCAACAGACGCTTCCACTGCTCGATGCTGCTCGAACACATGCATCACTGGAGCCGCAACCT